CCATGGCAGGGGGTTGGACTAGATGATCTACTCAGGTCCCTTCCAACCCCAGAAACTATGAAACTATGCACTTTCCAGCTGGCAGTCAGCTATTGAAAAGCAAAAATGATTCATCTGCTTCAGGACAAATTGGAAAGACAGATCAGTAAAGCTTCAAGAATTTTTTCTACTTTTGCTGGTCAGATGTCCCCTACCCATCCACTCCATCTTCCCCCACATGAAAAGAGGGAGTGGAAAAGACTGCCAGGATGGGGACCATGACAAGGAAGAGTGCTGGTTTGCCAAAGCCAGACACAGAGTTTGGAAGCATTTAGTTAACAGATACATTTAATTTAAGTTTATTAACAATTAGTTCAATATTGTAGCTTGGGGCGAGTTTGTTGTACAAATGCTTATTAAGGAACATATCCCTCTGAGTCTATAAACCAGGGGCCAGTTCCTGAAGAAGTTTAGACATACGCTGAAATTTGTGCACAAATACACCCATTTAAGCACTTGCCTAAGTCTTTAGAAAACAGGGGCTGTAAAATGTTAGACTGAATTTTTAGTGTTCTCACCCCTTAGGAAAAAACATTAAGTGACACTTTCAGCAAGGTTAATACATTTTATGGATGCAAGAACATTTCATGCAAGGCAACTATAATGTATAGGAACATTTCTCAGATGGCTGAAGATAGTTTGGTTCACAATGATCCCACACTATCTAAAAAGAAATGAACTGTCAGCAGGCTTTTGTGATGGCTTCACAATCAGAACTCTTTTCTTAACTGTTTGAAAGGTCACGTTTAGTTTTTAAACATTAGTGTTTGAATTGCTAGGCTAGACAGCAGGGTGCAGAGAAAGAGACATAACAGGAAGCTAAAGATATGGTATTTTTACCCCAAAAGCTCTAGCGATATTAAGAGTACTAAGTCCAGTTCTATAGCTGCTTTACTGTTGCAAAGATCTTTCCTTTGAAAGAAAATTATTCATCTTCCAAATGTGGCCAAAATTTAAATAACAATGAGATCAAGGAAATAAGGTATATTTCAGACCAAAAAGAGGTTATATCTTGAGGTTTTCTGGCTTTTGGCAGGGGGAAGGAGGGGGCAGGAGGGAAGGAAGCATTTCATTTTGTTTGTTGGAAAAGGTAAAACACCAGTTTAATAAAAGGGGCAAATCAATTTTTCTCTAACTTCAGCCCCAGTAAGAGACATGCAAACGTTAATTTAAAAAACACACTTTGCAGTGTTATCAGGCCTGGAATTGTTCAGTGGACTGATAAATCATATTTGTCCCATTAGGAAAATCAAAATAAATTTCAGAACTCGTTTATAGCTAGGTGAGGTTCTCTTTTAAAGTGTTATGCAGCACATGTACTATGTATGGGCCAGAATTATGAGTGACTGAAGATGTAAGTAGCTCTGTTTGCATCTTCCCTATGAATGAGCAAAATGAAATAACTAGAAGTCAAATTGAATTAGTGTTGTCTCTTCTGTGGATTTTCTATTCCGGCTCATAATTACTAAAATGGTGGTATGAAAAGTATAATAATTATACTCAAATGTCATATGGATTTGAAATGAAGAAAAAATGGACAGTAAAGGCCAAATTAGAATAATTTAAGTTGGCAGGGTAGGCTGGGGTAGGTTCTGACCTAATCCCAGTGAAGACCCTCTTACAGTTACTTTTGTTTATTCTGTTGTGTTTGAGTCTAAGCTGATTAATCTTGGGCTTTATTCATCTTGCCTACTCCCTGGTGTGTAAAACAGGAGCCATTTAACCCATACTTTGTTCCTACTCTTTGACATGCAAGTTAAGCCAACCTATCTATCATCTGTCTCAGTAGTGGGCCTTGTCAAACACCATCTCATGCACCACCTCAGAGTTTGGCCTCCAGCATCAATTATTCAGTCTTCTGAAACAGCTGTAAAAAGTCACAGCAATACTAGCAATTAATTCAATATTAAGCCTACATCTTTCCCTCATTGTAAATATATAAAACTCTTTAGTAACTCTAGTACTGCCGTAAAGGGTAAAACAAAGAAAAAGAAAAATGCTGGTCTTTGTTACCTGGGTATGTATACTGATAAGGAACAGCATACGCTTGTCCATTAGAGGCATAGTAGACTTGAGGACCAGGAGGAGGATATGTGCCATTGTATTGCTCATAACCATAAACCTAGCGAAATTAAAAGGATCTATTAGAAGCAGTTTCTTTATCAAGTATCTTCCAAGCTTTTAAGTGCTTTGATTAAGTCTTCCTAATTACTAGTGCAATATCATTGAAATCCCCTGCATAGATGGCAGCACTGGGCTGTAAAATAAGCATGGGTGAATTTGAACTATGCTCTTCTGTTTTGCAAGTCAGTATCTCCTGTTAACACCACCTCAGTTCCTCATAAAGATCACCTACCGCCCCCTACATCCCTGATAAATCTTCTCTCCCCTTTGGAGGAATGAGGCAAACTGCTCTCTTCGACGACTGTTCATAATTGTTACTAGATCTTGTAAGACCAAGAAACCGGGGGTTCAGAAAGAGATGTTTGGATAGTATCTCATAGTACACAAATCTGCACATACCAAGGTTAGCAAATATACTGGTCCATACTTTGTCCTTTCTCCACCCCATTGCCCCACAGTAAAATACATAGTTAATAAACACTCATAAGGAAGTTATAATTAGTTGTGTGTTGCCATGAAATCCTGGATACAAATAAGGTCCTTACTTTGTGGTGGTAATGACAACTTGCATTATTAAGACCCTAAGAATTTTTAAAATAGAGGGGCAAGAGGGTTTGGCTGTTTGTTTGTTTTAAATCCTGGCAGTGCTTTTATCATGTGAAACCTTTTATGAGAGACATCGGGTGTCCTTATGCTGGGGGGTAAATGTTCAAAATTAAAGACTGACTGGCTATTTGAGGTGTTTCCATTTTTATTTGTCCAGTCAAAGATACCTTTAAAAAGACCCTGAGTTTTCAGAGCTGCTAAGCAACTGTTCTCCCAAAAAACACACTGGTCCCTATATAAAGTGTCTCAATTTAGGCACCTAAAACCATTAGTATATAAAAATGTGCCCACTTTTTTCCATTTCCCAAGAATAAAATAAACTCAGAGTAAGAGCTCTTCCCAGAAGTAAGAGTGCAAACACCTGCCTGTGCATGGCATGACTGATCTGCACTATCAAATTTTTTGTTGTGCTTCCTTATTACACTTACGTCAGGTGATGGCGTAGCATATGCTGTGTATGGAGGAGGAAGAG